TCGACATCTGTCTCTCTCCTACTTGAGTGAGCGATGCGTCCGCGTGGACAGCTGCTATACAATAATACATTTCTATTTACCTCCTTCTCTATATCCATACAAAATATCTATCAAACAAATAAAATTAAAATTTTCTTTTGAAAAATGAAACCATCCCATTGGTATTTTCTTATGACGTTGTCACGTTCAACTATCGTCAGTAAACCGACTTTACAGACAATCGATTTTTTTTTGTTTATTTTCGGTTTTTCCATGCTTTAATATTGTCGGAGGTATTTTTAAATAACACCATCGAAAAGAGCATCGTTAAAAATATAGAAACACTGGTTATCGAATATTTTTTCGTCGTACTCATTACGTGGGAAAGGTTAAAATGGAAATGTGTTCTCTGAGCATTTATGGATTAATGTGATGTGACATAAACCATATGAATATCGTTTTCTATTACTTTTAAGACAATTACGACAAACATTAACAATTTAAGAAAAAAACTTCAAAAAAAAAATTTTGCAGACCTGTGTAATCAATTCCTAAAATAAAATTAATTTGAAATACGAATCGTCACACTACATAGTTTTTTTACGGATCAGCTTATCTAGCTTCATAAAAATCCGTTAAAGAAATGCATGATTAAAAAGTAAGCGTCTTTTTTTTAGGAAATCCATGACAAGTTTTTAATATATTCGTTCCAATCATTTTGTATTCAATATTCGAATGTTAGTATCGCGTAACATTATACACCAATGTAGGATTTAACAGATTCGCCGATTACAAGATTTTGTTGTGAGCCATTTACATAAGTATAACTGTATACGTGTTTGTAAGTATACGTATGTACGTACGTCACCTAAACTCAACATTACGTGATGACCGAACTTCGATTTCTATTTCAGTCGGCGGAACAAAAATGCTTCGTAATTATGTGTCTGCATGTTAAAATGTTCTGTGCTACTTATACGATAAAGATAAAACGTGTTTATCTTTAATTTATGCTGTTATTATCATCGAACTGTTTTTTTCAGTATGGGTACGTGTAGACGGTTACTATCTTTAACTTGTACTATATGATTATTATAAGTTTTGGATATCTAGCAACCTAATAGCAAGCAATGTCAGTGCTAAATTATCAGCGTTAAACATCTATCATTTTTTCCGTGATGAATCCCTCTACAGCAGTAGAAGTTGAAAATCCTGAAACACTTTTTCAGACCGGGACCAAAGATGAAATGCAGTTTTCGCCTATAATAGAAACGAAACAAGGGTTACTGAGGGGAATAGTCAAGGACAATACATATACCAACATTCCTTATTTTGCCTTCCTTGGTGTACCGTATGCCCTTCCCCCTTTAAATGACCTGAGATTTCAGGTAATCTGTTAGCTATATAGTTTTTAACTTTGTTTTAACTATCGTTTGATGTTAGTCTCCAAAGGAACCTCAAACATGGGAAGGAGTTCGTGATGTTATAGATGAACAGCCAGGATGTTATTCAAGGCATCCCATATTTGGAAGTATTGTTGGTTGCGAAGATTGTTTATATATAAATGTCTTTTCTCCTGAGGTAAATTATAATTATAAGATTAACAGTAACGTTTTAAACGACGGCGGCGTTTTCTTTGCAGCTTCCAGAAAAGAAAGTGGATTTTGTTCCTAAGCCCGTTATGGTATACATTCATGGAGGAAGCTTTATACAGGGATCAGGAAGTCTTGAACTTTATGGTCCAGAGTTTCTGATTGCCGAAAACGTTGTACTCATTACCTTCAATTATAGGGTCGGACTTTTAGGTAAAGAAAGCAGTTCCATTCTTATTATTTCGGCATAAACACTTTATCTTTTGTTTTCTCACAAACAATTTTACTTAACCGTAATAAGAGAGTAATAGGATTTTTAATGTTTCAAAAATTTTTATAATCTTGCTCTGCCATTTTTTTACAGTTGATATTGTTGTGTAATGAAACACCTTTCGCACTTATAACCAATTCAATTTTTTAATTAATTACTAGCGACCCGCCCCGGCTTCGCACGGGTGCAATGCTGATATTAGATATACTACAGAATGCTTTTTTATACAACGTTCACAGCTTTTTTGTCATTAGACAATACCAACGTGTTTTCTTTAGAGGTTACGCTTGAAAGAGCGACATATAATTGACCATGCCCCCGGCCTGTGCCGCCGCAAGCGCTAGGTCCCTGCAATTTAAATCTCTAATATCTAATTTAAATTACATGCTGTAAAGGGCCATATTGATGTATATTAAATGCACAATGTATTTAAGGTATTTAATTGGATAAGGATTAATGCTGTATTGCTTAAAATCGCTGCGTAAATAAGCCATTATTTCTCGTAAAAACTAAAGGATAAGAAATGGTTGTACAATACTGTAGTACATTATTTTGATCTATCTCGTAAGGTTCAGCCAGCGTTTGTAATATAAGCGCAGAAAAATGTGTTTATTTACGACATCACATTAGAAATCTACAAAATTATCAGTGTTTCTCTACTATTTTATGCATGTATTATGTACATATAAACCTCCCTGTTCATCACTCTATCTATTAAAAAAAACCGCATCAAAATCCGTTGCGTAGTTTTAAAGATCTAAACATACAAAGGGACAGACAGATAACTGGAAACGAGTTTGTTTAATATTATGTAGTGATTATCAATAACACAGGTCTGCGATAAAAAAGTTTTTTGTGTAAATTTATCTTAAACATGCAAATGTTGGTCTATAATTTGCAAATATAAAATTTGTTTTAACGTATCACGTCACATTTTTTTTTGGTATGTAGATTAATATATATATATATATATGTAGCTCTTCGAATCGG